ACATGGGTTAACGTGTTTGTAAGGTTTTTTATTCTAGTGTGATCATGCCCTGGAGTTCACACCACAGTGTGGCTCTGAAGGGATTTGAGTGTTGGATCCTGTGATGTTGAGGTCCCTTCTGCTCTGCTCCCTTCCCCCACGTCAGATCTTCTTCCTCACCATCAGGCAGCTCACATCTTGGGGCAGGAGGCTCTGAGACAAAGGCACAGTTGTCGCTTCACTCCTTGGCTGCTTTACGTTGCCATCCATGTTACTGTGGCTGGAAGCAAAGCACACATTGCATGAATTGGAAAGATTGCAGCACAGTTCCTCCCCCGGGAGCACCCGCCCTTCAAGGGCACCAGCCGTGTTTAAAGCTCATGAAGCAGAACATCTACCCTGAGCAGGAGAAGGTTGTCACCTACAAGCAGTTATCACCTCTAGTCACAATCCATAGGGCAGAACACTTAGTGTTGTTCCACAGCTGACATGAGTGAGGACTCCAGTTCCTTCTTGGCTTCCCATGGGCAGTTCAGGGTGTGAATGTGACACCATCATACCTGATCCTGGACATCACCACTCGCTGGCGAATATTCAAACTTAACGGCATCACCAACTGGCTGTGTTTGAGTCTTCTCCTCCCCATCAAACATTGGCAATAAAACTTCATTCATCAATTTTGTGAATTCGCTATCAGTCTTCATGGAAAAAGCAAATAAAACATTGAAAACCAACACATTGTAAGAACGTGAAGGAAGAGCACAGAGCTAAGCCACCCAGGCCACACTCACCAGGTCATCAAACACACTCATTTCTAGGCTGATGTCCTCGTTCTCCAGGCCTTTTTTCTTATTGTAGACTTCAATCTTCTTCATAAACTGGTCCCATATCATTCTTCTGTATTCTTCTTCTTTCTAGGGTAATGTAAGTGACATTATTTTCTTCATATTAACTACATACACATGTTGAGCCAGTGGACCTGCTGTGGCAGACAGAGATGAGCCCTGGAGAGGGATCTCAGGAGCCATTCTGTATACCCCGCATTTCAGCAATGCAGGTCACCTCATGTCCATAGCTATTTTAAGGAGTCCTTTGGTGACAGTTGACCCCATGACCTCTTTTATGTCTGTGTACATCTAAGAAAAGAACTAGTACTCCTGAGATCCCCTTGGACAGTTCCCATGTTACCAACCGGCTTCTCATTTGTTATCGTCGCCTCTTGATCTTTGACCTCCAGAGTGACATCAGGGGATTCAGCAGCTGAGGCCACTGCCAAGCACAGGATGACTAGGAAGACAGCAGGATTCATGTCTCAAGTGCCTGGAGGAAAAAGGGAGAAATCCCCAGTCTAGGTATTTCAAAGTTACTAAAACGTTTTCTTCTTTACTGAGATCCAATGGTGGATCAAGACTGTTTGAACTCTTCCAAGTATTTATCTAAGCAATATGTAAAAGTATAAAGATGCGATTTGTTGAAGAAAACATATGGAGGTATTTGTTAGACCACCAACTTTAGTAGCTGTTCATAGCTGCAGGCCTGGAAACAGCAAGTTCATATACTCCATGATTCCCAAGTTAAAACTGAAACTAAGGACACAAGGCAGAGAAGACCTAGGATTTGTACAGAGTAAGGTAACTTCAAGAGCTGAGGGACACTGAACATCTTCTTTCAGCTTATTGCATTCCAGGAGTTACCCTATGTCTTGGACCCTCCCTCCTGAATAATAAGTCTAACCTCTCCTTTCTTGAGAACCTAGGAATGACAACATCTACTTCTTCC